TGATAATCGAGCGCGTCGCCGGTTGTTTGTTCGCGCCGAATTTATCGAACGACAATATTAGCACAAGTTGACTCAATCCGTCTTCGGCAAGCGTTTTCAATGCACTTTGCATCGCTACGGCGCTATGCACGTCACGTCAAGTCTACGCGGTGATAAACATGAATCGAGCAATAAGCGCGAATCAAATCAAGCAATGATTGACGTTGCTTGATTAACATTTGATTTGTTTACTTGTAAAAAAGAATGTAGGGAACTAGGGCTGCTAGAAATAATCGGAAGCCTCTCTGTTAAGATAATTAAAAATGAAAAATACCTTTCAGTTTCTTTTTAACTTTAATTTATTCCATTACGCGCTATTGTCTGAAGTAGAAGAAAGTTAAGTAACGGATTATTAAAATCTAATTATAACAGCAAGGAGAATATATATAGCGAGCAGAGAAATTACGTTTCTCTCTCAAGAGTAACTTCGTCGAATTAAGAAATGGGATAAAGCGATTAAGAGAACAATTTCAGCAAGGAAAGACGGCAAAAGTCAATGCTATGAGAAACACTCGGCTCGTATTGTCGACAAGACTAGACGACTCATTGTCGCGTTCATAAATTCTCGTTAGTCTCTGCTAACACCGTGTAATAACTCAGAGACGCTATTGCGCGGTCGAGCGCGTCTAACGGAAACGTCACGTCTATCGCGCGTCGCGTATACCTACTCTGCAAAAAGTTCACTGACTTCCGCCGCTCGGATTTACTTGTGAAGTCCAAGTTGAATTTTTCGATCCAATTTTCGTATCAATTATTACTTGCTCAATTTATAACGGATTATTTTTCATCATATTTTTAATGAATTTCAGTTTATCTGAGCTTACATTATTCATCTTGAATTTCTTATTACTCCACTCGGCTTTGTCAAGAAGATTTTTTTAATTATTTTTATGTCGATATTTAATAATGTACTTTTTTGCAATATTTAAAATTGTAATTTGTATAATACACAAGTTTCGCGAGATGGTAAAATTTTCGTCGAAAACAAGACTTAAAATTTCTTACGTATTAGCAAGTGATCGTCATGACTTATACTTCTATATCAGTTAGACGAGTCATGCACTCTTATTTATGACGAGAGACAGTGCCCCAACAATTCCGCAAAGTGCGCCAAATGCTTTACCCACATTTCTTGGCACGTCGTCTCGATTAGGATTGGTGATACAAGAGTCGCGCCGACGTAAATATAGCACGAACTCAATCTTTCGTTTCATTGTCCGTAGCGATTTTTAAATGTAACAGAGCGATTTTAAAATATTCACTTACAAACAAAAGTATTTTCCGGTAAAGTATGTTTCCCGTAAATTTCACGAAGTTTAAGTTAAGCGGCGAAAATTTATTTAATAATACATTAACAAAGAAGATGATAATAACGTCTTTAAAAGTTATCAGCTTAACAGATAGATAATTTACCGGAACTAGAGATACAATATTGACCGAAAATTTCGAAAACATTCAATTAACCATTCATTATAATGATAAGTTCTAATTACCGTTAGTGCTGCGTAAAAAAACAATTGAAAAGTTTTTCTGCGCATGCAGTTACATGTAACAACCAGAGGAAGTACCGGGATGATAACCCAGTTTCTCGAATACTGTAATATCAACTTGGATGCGAAAAATTAATAAACGGGGAAGCGTCGCGTGAGGCGAAATATAATACGAAAGCAGCGTGCTGGTGAACTTACTTTCAACGAACGGGAAATCGGTCTCGAGAGGCGCCCTTGCACCTCTCTAAGCACAGCCGCGGCGTAGATCGACGGCGCTCTCTCACGCGGGAATTAAAATCGCTGCATCCCACTTGCGCGGATCGCACACGCTGATTACGCGTCCGCTTTGTTTATATCCCTGATCTCGTCGCCGTGCTCGCTATCGCGGGTACCAAGGAAACCCGTAGACACACGGCGGCAGCGGCATCGGAGATCCGCGGGCAAGGCCGCGTTTTTTGCATAGATCACCAGATCGCTCGGCCGGCAAAACTTTCATCCACTGAATTCGACGCGACGGACTCTCTCGCCGCCTTTAGGCACTCGATCTAATCGCGTACAAATTCGATATGCTCACAATTTCTCAAATTGGTCCACTAACGCGCATAGAGATCGCGCATTCGTCCCGCGTGCGTGAACTGTCATTTTTTGCCGACACTCGAGAGGCTTCTTTTTTTTTTTTTTACTTTATCAGACGGCTCCGTTTTATCGGAGCACCTTGACTTTTTTTGGTCACTCGCGTTAGGGAACACTACGAGTCTCAGCTGATGAGAAGAGAATCTGCTCCGATTTGCGAGCGATATATTCGGTGACGGTAGTATATGCGCAAGAGCAACACTCCTTACATTCTACTCGGCGCGGCGGTCGGCGCGGCACTGACAATTGCGTATCGTTCAGAGGCGCCGCAGCGCAGCGCGCGATGAGACGTGATCGCGAAATCGCGTGATCGCCTACACGCGCACTGATACTCCACCATCCCTCTCTCTCTCTCTCTCTCTCTCTCTCTCTTACCTCTTACCTCTCCCCGCAACCCCGTCGCCAGAATTAGACAAAAGAACGGAATTCCGGACTGTCTGAAAGAATCGCGACAGGTACCTATACATACACACGCTGATGCGTGAGATCTCGTTTCACGTGGTGCATGAGCGATTGATGCGGATGTAGCCTACCGTGCTGCATATTCGTGTAAATGCAGCTTCCTTGCGCTAGATGCGTACCATGTGCGCTGCCGTGCGACACGTGTTATCATGGTTTCACGTAGAATCACTTAACTTATATGGGCGCACGAAGTGTGTCCCAGATTGAACAAGTCTGTCATTACCCTTAACTAGTGTTGCGAAAAAGTGTTACACTTCTAATGTCGTGGATCCACTGGATTCTCATCTTTCAAAGGCTAATAAAATGAGACTCGTTAACTTTGAGAACATTTTTATTATATCAAAACAATGCTTTGGACCTTCATTTATCTACTTTCAATCAAAACTAATAACATATAAGAAGTAGTAATCAATCTTGCTTTGGTCCTTAAAGTATATTTAATACATTTTCTTTTAAGTAAAATTCGATATGGGTCTAATGGACCTTATGTATCGTATCAGTTAAAGGTTAAACTTGTATCAGACTGATAGATGTCAAAGAAACAATGGTAACTCAAGTCCTTGAGTTAAATAATACTTTGTTATTTTTAATTTTATGTACTTATGTCAAAGTGTAAATCAATCCATTTCTGTGATTAGTTTCAAAATAAACAGTATCCATATTAATGTGTGTGTATTTATAATAATAAATAATATAATATAAACTAAATTAATCGAGTCAAATTTAATACATCTTGAGTTGAATTGTTTAACTACATACTTTTAGTTAAGTTAACTACATATCGAACAAGAGTGATGACCTCTATAAAAATAATTAAATTAAAAATCTTTTCAATTTGTGTGAATGTAATATAATTTAATTTGACATTACGAATTTAGCAACATAGAGAGACAACAATTAAGATTAATTTGGAATTTGACCACTCAAAGCAAAGTTCACTAACCTTGATATTGGTTTTCTTCCTTCTGATTGATCAAATTCCAATCCAATCTCAATATTAATACGTTTCAAACGTAATACCTATTTCACTTTAAGTATAAAACTATAGTGATTTTTCTATTTAAAAATAACCTATATTTTAAATTAATCTATTAGATAGAGGAATGGTAACCTAATCCGTTGAATTAAATAACGTTTTGTTATATTTAACTTCCATATGTATCTCATCAATATATCAATATAACAAATAAATTCATTTCTATTGTTTCAAAGTAAACCATTATTAACGTATGCATTACAGTTTCAAAATAAGCCACGTCCATTATTAACATATGCACTCCAATTTCAAAGTAAATCACGTCCATTATTAATGTATGCACTTAAACAATAAACTAAATTTGAATAAAATTTAATAATTTTTTTCACTTAAATTGTTTATCTCCATTTTTGAAGTTAAATTAATGACATGTTGAATAATAGTAATGCTAGTGACTTATATAAAAATGATTAAAAATTACTTAAACTTGCAGGCTATAATTTGACATTTTGAATTAGTAGATATTGATAAGAGTGCTTTGATGAAAATGGAATCTCGATCTTTCTTTAGCGAGGATGTCGCGAGAGGCCATTGTTTATCGCAAGTTCACCTCTTTCTTTTAATGTTGAAGGTGACGCAAATGTTTAGGGAATTTTATACAATATAAATAGCACTTATGCAGTGCTGTTTCTCTTTATTAATTTACATTTCTTATCAAGATTGTACACGTGGCAGTAAGTAATTGATATGAAATTACAATAATGATAGACTATATTATATTAATATAAAAAAATACGTTTTGTCTACTCTATTTGTCATTGCATTATATAACGCGGCATTAACGAAAACTTTCTGTATTTTACTATTAGCCGTTTGCTGTTAGCCATTCTATCTAGTTGACATTTCAGTTTTTACACGCATCGTTTTTCTCTGGAGGCAACGCTCATTTGCATTAGCCTGTCGTTGCATAATTGTGCGGTCTCATTCAGTTTACACCGAAATATATTCGTCTGGACGGACGTTCAGTGCGAGATAAACGACACGTGTCACGCGGTGCCGAAATAATTTACGCCATTTATCTTTGTCGATATTCAATTTCGTTGCTTTTCGAATTGCAGACGAAATAAAAAGAAGGGATTGACGTGGGTAAGAAATAAAGGGTGTACAAGGGTGATCCGCAGGAAGAAACATTTTCCCCAAGTAGATATTTGCGCGGCTCTTACGTGTGATAAATAATATGTCGTCTGCTTACCGTGACCCGAGGCTCTCTTCGCGGCATTAAAGTCCGATTGAAATCATTAACGCATTTAGCCTTTTAGTCTAAATTAACCTTTGCGACTATGTATGGATATTATCGCGCAGTAGAACGTTAACCTTGACGACAATAGATCACGATCCGGCTACACCCCACATGCCTCCGCATTGAATGAAAACTCAGTTTCGAGGCCGTTGTTGCTGCTGCCACCGCTGCTGTTGCCGGTGAATCGCTATTAAATAGTAGAAACCGCAGCAGACGTGACGTATTACTTATTATTGCACTTAGTATAATAACCCACGATAAATTATTTTTTGCTCACACGTGTTTCCATGAGTTCGTTTTAACATCGTCTTCTTCAATCGACAGTCGCGCACCGTTGACAGAGATATTAAAGGTGGTATCTTTGTTCCTTTTTACAAATACCAGATAACGAACTAAACGAACGTCGGATCGACGAAGCGATAAATCTTTATTGCTTTAAACTAAGAAATACACATTTCCATTGTAAAAAATTCAAGGACAAGCAAAATACGAATTTACGATTTAGCAATGGCGAAGTCATAGACAGGGTCAAAAGTCACTTCCGTGGGTCACTCGCTGACGATAAGAACAAGGATTCCGCGAGGAAAATGCCTGAAAATTATATGCGTGTATTGCAACTTGTAGCGCAATCTGTTCTCCTCTAGCACGAAGTGTTGAGATGTAATTTTAGAAGATTGCATTTATCGCTGCATTTCCGCGCTGATATCGCCGTCCATGTGGCGTCAATGAAACGAAAATTTAATTACTCTTTTATTCATATCTGTGTTACTAAATTACCGCTGATTATTGTAGAACGATGATATGATCGTCAGAGGTAGAATAAAAAATTGTACATATTAATTTTTGTATGTCAGAAATGTGAATTCCAAATTTTATCGTAGTATTAGTAACACAAACATCAGTTCGTTTTAATTTTAGAATGGTTAAGAATAAATGCAAGAATAGTTAAGGGCTCTTTAAGTTACACACATTAACGATATAATGTATTGAGTCCAAAACAATATTTTTTTCAGAAACATTTTTATTTTGTCTCACACGTTACATTCAAGTAAATTAAACTTAGTGAAAATTTGTAATTGTATATTATTTAGAACTGTTAATTGAAAACACTTCCATATATTTTTATAAATACATATTTAATAGGTATAAAATATTAGGCGATATTCTATTTGTGATAGATAAAAAAATGTTATTAAATATTTTATATATATTTAACAATATCTGAAAACGTGTTTTTTATTTAACAGTGTTATTTATATATATATACATATATGTGTAATATATATTATATATATATATATACGCGTATGTGTATATATACATATATGTATACATATATACATACATATATATAATTATTTTTTGATGCAAACTTGCTTTGTGACCAAGAACTGAATCAAAATTAATAGGTATGTGGTGATACTACCCACTATCTATAAGCAAAATTATAAAATCAACAATATGTACGTAAAATTAAGGTAAATGATCGATTGCTTACCCCAGTAAGAAGTGTTGCGTCAACAACGAGACCCTTTGCGTTGAATGAATTTTCGCGATGCAATATTTGCAAGGAAAACAGCTGCAACTATAAAATATTAAAATAATTAGTATAGGATTAGAAATATAATTGTGTAATCGATTCAATGTACAAAAATGTGACCGCAGAACATTTGTAGAAATAAGTTAAATTATTATTAATTAATTAATTAATGATATTTTTGCTACCTCTTCTTTAATCTGCTTATCGCTGGTGCTGATAAGAACGTCGTGTACAGTAGTGCCAATCTGCAAAGCGTTATCCTTGCCTGTATCGCAGGCCCACACTATAAGCACTATTTTGATAGAATAATATGTTACAGACGTGATGTAGTACTTAATCCAGATCTGTTTCTCTAGATTGATAACATCGGTGCCTTCTTGCCACACCACTATGTAGAAATACAAACCGAAAGTGATTTCGGCAAAAGTCATGACTATTGTGGTGAGAATTTGCATACTAAAAACCTTATTCACCAAGTGCACAGCGTCGCTGATCATCAGATGTCGTTTTTTCAAGGCTTTGAGCTCCATCAGTAGATGTGGATTTCTCTGTTCATGATAGGTACGTCTGAGAAGATGCGGTTCGTCGTTCACCACGAGTTCTCGCAGATTCAACAGACTATCGTTGAGTTGTGCAAAACAGGCTTTTAGTACACAAACGCAATCCATGTATAGCATATCCATTTGAAACACCAGTATTGTGAGATAAAATGTCATGAGCTTGAGGAAGGTATCGCCAAAGTTGTAAGAGTTCACAAAACATTGATACAGTTGTATTACTATAAAAAGAAAACCGAGAATGTCCTTGGCATGAACCACCTTGGACATCTTCCGATATGACTCCGCAGGCAGTTTCGAAGAAACATCCAGCATGATCTGGAGCGTATCTATCCGCGGTTTAATCATGATGTATGTGATGACCGCTATAACACCACCGAGTATGTAGTAGCAATTACATTGAAGGGCTCCAGGTACACCGTCAAACGAAATGTCCCCGGCAATGTTGACCTCGAAGAGTACTATCACCCCCCAAATGCCGGCGCCAATCATACTGAGGGTCGACGTAATATAGCTCCGTTTAGTAAGCACGACGGTTGAGCCGTTGATGGTGTACGGGAATAGTCCAATAATGCGACAGAAAAGGAAGCAGGGATACATCAAGGTTTCAAAGTCCATCGCGCGGAACGGCCGCCATTTTTTCCGCACTATGCTTCTGTCTTGTCCTTCGGACGACTTTGGCGACGGATCTAACATGATTAGCGGAGTGTTATAAGAGAACAACGACCTAAATTGTAGATTGTATTCTAAAAATGATTAATTGCATTATCGGTGCACTTAAATATTTTGATGCAAACACAATCACGTCTCTTCTTTAAATATATAATCTTTCGTCTTTCCACGATAAATGCCCGACAAAGGCTCTTTCCGTTGTCTAAACTCGACAAGTTCAACTTTAAAACTGCAAACAATTGTTGCGTTGAATAGTCATTTGTTAGCCGTGAAGTAACCATGGTGTTCTTCGATCGACATTTGTCACCCTTGGGATGCAATGCATAAAGTAATGACGTGTAATTGCTACACGGTATACACGACCCATCATCTTACGCATCTAGGTCGTATGGAAGGCGAATCATGTGTGAACACTTGCGCACACGAAACAGGAAACGACTGCGCAGTATCCGTGGATTAATAATTCTCAAAGATCCGTCAATAATAACCGCACATTAAATTATACATTCTAATCACGCACTCTAATTTGATTATAAGATTGATATCATTATATCGTGATTTCGAAATCTAATGTTTTTCATTGTTACATATAGTTATTCATCATTCGTTTATTTCCAATGCATAAAGATTATCGATATATCGTGCTTATTATTTCGATTAAAACTTTATCATCATTATTTACTTTTGTAGACTTAATTTATTGATAAGCGTGAATTTCAAATTGTTTTTGTGAGTCTCTCAAAGTATAATAAATCAATTTACATATATATAATATTACTCACTAAATTATTACGTTGTTCACCTTTTGAGAAACATACCGATATCATAAAGGTATACGCGTAACAAATGTAATATTGATCAGTTTGATAAACCAACTTACGATGCAAGGACAATGCTATTATTTAAATTAAAATTAATAATAATCGATATGTTTTCGACTGATGAAATTATTAATATGTATAGCTGATAAGCAGTAAATTATCTCAAGATGCTGGTCCTTTGTATTTTAGTGACAACAAAGGGATGGGGTGACGAACGATGCGAACGTTATCATTACGTTAATGTCGTTAATGCGCCGCATCAAATTATCTTTAATAAACAAAACTTGAAATGCAAACATATCGTTTGAGTTGTTTCCGAATGTCCACTTTGGATACGACGACATTCATACTTTCGATGAAAGATGATGTATACGTAAACGTTCGGAAACAATTAAAATCAAACAAAAATAAATTGCAATTTTTTTTAATTGAAGTATATTAGATAGGATTAATCAACAAAATCGATAACATATATCCTAAGTAATTATACACTTTAAAATATTCTTTTACTTACGAATTCTTTGATCAATTAAGAATCGATCTTTCTTGATAAAATTGTCGAGACGATTCAAATTGATTGAAGAATTCATAGATGAAAGGAAAGACATTTCTTTTAAATCAAATGTAGGAATATTAGAACCCCACAGAGACACAACTTATTTATTTTATTCTTTAATGCTATTTTTGTAGTTGGTTTCTCTTATATTCACGTCTTATTTTCGTATATTCATGTTATTTAGAGCCCAAAAAATTATTTAAAATAGATAAAATAATTGAGTGGATTATTAAAAAATATAAATGTGATCGCTAAAATGTTTTGTTGTGAACGATAATTGTTTGATTTCTATTTGTTTATTTTTATAGGCAAATATAAAAATCACATTAAGATAATCGATTTTTAGGTTTCTCTTATACATGTATCTCGTATTGTTCAATAATTATTCCATATTTCAAAGTATAAAGACACGCTCGTGCTAAACGCATTTATTTGAAAGCACGCTCCATTAAGATCTGAAAGTTACTCAGCATAAATAAATATTCATCGTATACTGTAACGTATTTGTACTTGAACATTTTCCATACAATGAAAGATTTATGCGCAAAATTTTTGCGAATGTTTCACGTAATTCTGTTTGGCTTGGTACGTCTTGAACACGATTTAAACGTTTTTACATATCTGCATACAACGCTTCATAAAATAACATATTTATTGCTTGCCTTTATAATGCAACGATAATAATCATTTTGCGATATACTATAACAAAAAGCATTTATACTTGTACATAAAATATAACACGTTGTGTGTATGCAGAGTCCTTAAGCCTGAGTCCTTGAAAGTCTCTAGAAAAAACATTGAGAGATATATATATATATATATATATATCTCTCTGCATAACTTTAAATTATTACTCAAGAGTTAATAACAAAATCAATATTGTTAAATGAACCGGAATATTTAAAGCTGTGTGTATGTGTATATATGTATGTGTGACAAAGATTTTTAAGCATGTAATAAATAAGAATATTTTATTAATAGTTTTTTTAAAAAGTATTTAAAAGAAGCATCTTAATATTTAAAGATATCTTTACGTATATACATGAAATTTTATACATCACTAGAAATTAATGTAGAATTATTGAAAACTAAAATTATCTATTAAATTTTCATTGTTGCGCATAATTTTTAAACTTATACCAATAGAATGATAAAATTTTTTATCAATAAATCGAAACAAAATGGAGAACATTCTTTTTATAATAAAAGAACTTTTCTTTCAGGTTTCTGAAAATTTTGCATTCGCCTAAAATTATCTGTAATATTAATAATTTCGGTGCAAAAAGAAGGAATTTTTAAGAGATTCCGCTCGTTTGCTGAAGATGCACGCAAATAATTAATACAGTCAAGATATTTTGCAATAATTCACTGTCATCAAATTAATGTATACAGAGACTAATAAAAGGTATGTCACGTTGGTACGAAATGAAAAATAGACAAATCTTTACAATCAGTTTGATAATTATTATTCTTATGTGTTGTATTTAATTTTGATTAATCTTTAAAGCAATTAAAAATTGTTAATAAATTCCGTGAATTTTAAGTACAATATTTTTTACATTTCGATAATTTAAATACGGAGATAGATCAATAAGCTTGACATATTTAAAAATGGACAAACTGAAAGTAAATCTATTAATGATCAAGGCCAGTATTCATAGTTGATTTTTATATTTAAGACTGCCTTAAACAGTTGGAGGTTTGTTCGTATCGCATGCTCCAATGTGCTTCTACAATATCTTTTACTAATTTATTCCAACGCGCTCGTAGAAGCTAAGGAGCATGTTAGAGCACGTTGGAGAATGTTAGAGCATGTTTGAGCATGCGAACAAACCTAAAATGTCATGAACCAATCAAAGAGTCGTCTTAACGTTTTAAAACGTGAATCGATTTTGAAATAAAAGGTCCCGCACCCTTTTTTCGTTTCAGTAATCATAAAACATATCGTAAGAATTAACCAATCAGAGCAGAGAGTTTTTGACAATTCTAGACTGTGATTGGCTAATTCTTACGGTACGTCTCACTGAGGGCCGTCTACAATGGCAGTAAGCAGTGGTGGTAAGGCTGTAATGCTCGTTTCTACCAATATAAATTAACTTTAATCTCGGTTCAACTTACTTTTCATCATTTTTTAATTCTTAGAACTAGAAAAAGATGAAGAGTTAGTTAAATCAAGATTAAAATTAAACCACATTGGTAGAAACGGATATAAGAGTAAGAAATTGACCAATCACAGTTGATTATTTTTCTCGCATTCAACTATGATTGGTTTTTTTTTACGGCTTAGAGCCTCTTAAAGCGAGATTGTAGACCCAACCTTATCAGATTGATAATTAACGATTATTTTTCCACTATTAGATCAAAACGCCGATTGTTATGCTCTAATCAGTGGAAAAGTTAAGAAACGTTTATATTCGCCGGAACCGTATGTCGTATATAATCTATAAGAATTGACCAATCACAGTCGAATATTCTCTTATTTGACTGTAAAAGGGGAAATGATTGTGATTAGTCAATTCTATTGCTAATTGACAATTACAATCGCAATTCAATTGGCAATCGTTAATGTGAGATATATATATATATATAATAGGAGTAATATAATAGATCATGTGTTTTGACGCTAAAAATGAGCGTTAGCACCTTAAGAAATCAATCAATTACAATCAAATTTGTAAGGAAAATAATCGATTATGGTTGATCAATTCTTAAAATTTACTATAGCTATTATTTTATTTCGGTACTTAAATAATATCTTAAGAGGTTAACACACCTTTATGGGAGATTGATTTATATATCTTATATTTTAAATTTATACTTAAGACGATTTTAAAGAATTGACTATGAATATCAGTCATAAGTATATGTATACATACATAAAGTCTGTTCTTTATTCTTGTACTGTTTGAATTGATGTATGTTACACACACAGTGCAATAAGTTGAAGTGAGACGAATATATAAGGTCTGTTCTTTTTGCCTAAACTGGTGCAAAAGTTCAGCCAAAAAGAATAGAGCCCCGATTCTCTAATCCATCGTAAGAGAAACGTATACGAAAAATTAGGAAAATGCTACAGTACACGTTACGCATACTATAGCATTTTCCTAATTTTTCGTATACGTTTCTCTTACGATGGATTAGAGAATCGGGGCCCAGGGGCTCTATTCTTGAAAAGAAACGTATACGAAAGTGTAGGGAAATACTATAGTATACGTAACGTATACTGTAGTATTTCCCTAGACTTTCGTATACGTTCTTTTCAAGAATAGACCCCCAGGCCTCTTGTTGTTTCACTTCAACGTGTTGCACCATGTGTACCAATTCAGGTAGTACAGAAATAATGAACAGACCTATAGTTATATACATATGAGGCCTGTTCTTTTTCTCTGCACTGTGCCCACAGTGCAATAAGTTGAAGTGAAACAGATATACGTTTGTTTCACTTCAACTTATTGCACTGTTTGAACTGGTGCAGATAGTGCAGGCAAAAAGAACAAGCCTATAGTAGTCTGTTTCCTGTTCCTGCACTAGACTGAACTAAAACTTTCGTTCGCGCTTTCTACAAATATCAAACATGTGCCTATCTCACTTTAAGTTCTAAAAGTGTGCACTAGTTCAGCCACAGAAAACCTATATATATACAGTTT